GTGAAGGAGTGAAATTGGTGCTTGATGCACCGTAGATAGGGTTGATGATAATGATGCGGGTTTTGTTTATCAGTTTGAAAATTTCACTTTATATGTAATTAGGTGGAAGCCCAATGTCACAAAACGCACATCACTAATTTATTTGAGTTAATTGTAATATATAATATTCGCATATACTATTTATTCACTAGCGTTTTAAAAAAGACTGCCGAATCCGGCTCGACGGACCAAAATGTTGTAAACTTATGTGACCTCTGGTTCACCTTTTAAAAGAATTCACAATTTATTCATTTTGTTCATGTTAATGTTGTTGGGATAAGATCCCCACTCTAACTAATACAATTTCAGTTATATTTTTATCATCATCTTCTTTATCTTCATCCTCATCTCCATTCTCATCATCATGGTGTAAATTTATTATGTCAAAATCTTTACATTCTTTAGAAAAGGTCACGATATTGCATTGAATGTCACTTCGGCCACAGTCAAAAGAATCGATTAAGTTGGCTTTGTCCCCTGTAACGAGAGTAATCAGCTCCGTTCCAATGTACCGATAGACAAATGAGTTTCTCGGATCATAAACATATATGTCGAGACAACACGTATCTCGTTTTTGAGACACTCTGGTATTGATGGCCACATGGACAACCTTCTAAATTACACCATGTTTCCCGGATGCTTCGATTTATCAAATCAGTGACTTCAAGGTCAAATACGGGCCTGTCAATGTCCATCATAAAGATTTGGAAGCTCCGTGGTTGTTGATGATAATGGAGATTAAGATCTCGACAGCTCCTAGAAAAAGTTAATAAAAAAATAAAAGTTATTAGAAAAAGTAGAAAGAACGAGAAGAAGCAAATTTAATTGGGCTACTTACCAGTTAAAGTAAACTAGGCCTACTGCTGGAATGACGTTGGGAGCGATGACATTGTAAAGCCCAATTATTGAAGAAAAAATCGAAATTTGCTCTTGATTGAGACCAGCCTTGAACTCTTCGAAGGTATCGTTCCATTTGAATTCAGTTGCGGCCATGGCATAAACATAGGCAGCAGACAAATTTCTATCCAATTGGCCTCGAAGCATTGAACTTTCTGAACGATAGCTCACGGTTGATGAAGATGACGATGATGACCGACTTCGACGAGTCGATGTTGACGGTTGAGGTGGTTCTGGTTCATCTGATTGTCTCGATCTCCGAGGAGAAACTTGTCGAGGTTCTGGTGTTTGTGATCTTTGAGTCGATACACGCCGTGTAGGTGATGTGGGAGAGATGTTGTAGGTGATGTGGGAAGAGATGTTGTAGGTTTTCGACGTCGAGTCGCTCTCTCACCAGCATTACCTCCATTTGTCTCTGCTCTTCGCGAGCATTGAGTTCGAGCTGGTCTCTCCATTGTTGATGATGTTGACGTTGTTGGTTGTGGTGGTGGTGGTGGTGGTAGTGATCCATAATTAAACAATGTTTTTAAATGACTGAATTCACACAAAAAAGAAGACAAAAAAGCACGTTAATGTTAGTTGATTGAAAACAAGAATGAAAATGAAAAAAAGCGAAACTAACTGGATTAATAAACCAAACACTTATTGATGATGATAAATTGAAAATCGGAATCTTCTCATCAAATCGTTTTGAAATAAGATCAGGATCATCTTTGCTCTCAAGATAAACCATGATATTTAAGAGGCAATGATCAGCTCCATCGATTGAAGAAACTGAGACGGTTGGAAAATTCGATAAGTATCTGAGAAGTTCTGTAAGAAGAGAAATTGAATTAATTAGTTTAATTGGTTATGTAGAATCGCTAATGATGAAATTTAATATTTAACTTACTTTTATCTCTTTGCGAAAGAGGTCTAATTATCCTTGGGGGTGGTTTTGATCCTATGATTCTTTCATTTACACCATCATAGTGTTTGGCATAAAAGGATAAAAAACATCCAGAAAAGGTGAAGTAAAAATAAGGTATTTCCACCCTGAAGGGTCTCCTCGGAATTGTTGGGTCAACCAGGACGTGACTTTTCACATAAATTTCGATGTTGTATGCGGTCAAGAAAATTGTGGCAAATCTACTTTTATAAAGGGGTTTGTACATGGCAAAAAAATCTGAAAAGAAAAAGACAGAGAAAAAGCAAATTAATGATGTGAAAGGGATAAGAGGTAATATGATTCAACTTACTTTGATATGATTGATAAATTTTCGACATAATTAACAACAATTAATATACAATAACAGTGAATTAAAACAAATTGACATTGATTATTTACAATTTAAACTCTTGTTCACCACATCAGCTGACGTAAATCAGCTGACCCAAAACAGCTGATCTTAGATGATTAGCCGGGAATTTCAATTTTTTCTTACACGGAAACTTGTCCGTGTAAGGTATTAATTTTTGATTTATTCGTATTTAAATTACTATATACAATATTTTAATTAATTAAGATTCTTAATTAACGAGAAATTGCAAAAATTACAATTAAATAGCCTTTTGTCAACAATTTTAGGTCACACATAAAAATTGCATAATTACCAAAAGTCTATAAAAAATTAATTAATAAAAAATTCATTCGGTGTTGATTGGCTGAAAAAAGCGGAAAATCCGAACGCAATTAATTACCTTTTATAGAAAAAAGGTGAGAACATAAAACAATGGATTATCTTAGTCTATTTTTTCTACTTTTTAAAAGGTGAGAACATTGGTTAAACATCATTTTTTGCAAAAATAAAAGTAATGTTGACACGATGTTCTCACCTTTTAAAAAGACAAAAAAATCGACTAAGATAATTGAAGTATCTTATAAGATATTAGATGGCAATGATTAAAGAAATTGACGAGACAAAATAATTAAAGCAATTACGAAATTCGAAAATTGCAAAATTGCAAAATTGAACAATTGGGATATCATGTAAATAAGTATTATTAGAAGTTGAACAATTAAATGAATCAACTAATCAGCTTCTTGAGGCGCAAATTGTCGGTCTGTCAATTCTCGTCGTCGACAAATTATCGAAGCATGGAGGCTTGTAGTGCTCTTTCAGCGGAGTAGGAGCTGAAAGTGAGATTACACTTGATGCAAGCCAAAGTGAAATTTGATCTGATGTGTGCCCTAACTTCATAGTAGTCGGACGATCGGTTTCGGTATCCGTTCTCAGTACAAAGTATACAAGCAGTAATCATCTTCATCTTGTTTGATTTAATGAATGTATTCTTAATAAAGTTGATCATTTTTGGTCTTTTTGGCCTTAAAGAGGAGTGAAAAGTTTTTTAATAATATTTGATGGTTTGATATTCATATTTTTTAATTACTGGAATACTACTGCGCATAGAAAAAATTAATAACAAAAAATTTATTAAATTAAAGATTATTTACTGCGCATCTGAAAGAAATAAACATTGTTTGACCTTATCGATGAATTCTATGGATGAAATAATGTTTTCTGAATAATCTTTGGTCAGATTTAATATTCTTTGATTTATACCAGCGTACTTCTTGTTGAGTTTAGTTCTAGTTCCGTTAGAAGCGATAAGAATTTGCACTTCGTAGTTGTTCTGATGCTTGATTATTGTTTCGATAAACTGGTAGATATTCGCGTGATGACGGCCAACGGTTTTATTGAGAGCGGAATGCCATCCTTCGACGTGGTTATTTGTCCTAGGGTCACGATCATCAAAGTGGTTCCAGATCTCTTTCGGAAAGCGAGCATCGTTTATTAAATAGGTTCGTTCGAAATAGTCCAAAAAGTTTTTGAAACTATCGTCAGCAGATGCTTCAGCTTTGATCTGATCATAAATTTTGTCGATGTCATCAACAATTAGAAACGGCAAGGCAGCGATTCTTTTTACGGCCATTTTAACATCACTATCATCTGATTTGTATCTTGGTACTAGTCCGTGTTTGCCAACGTTCCTCCAAATACTCTGACTGAAATGGAATAAACAGCATTTAAGTTGGCAAAACGGGAAAATTAGATTGATGGCCTTGATAGCAGATAGCTCAAAATCGGTGGTAAATTGTTCTGGTTGCCAGGTCAAATTTATCCCACTGCACAGGTCTTGGATAATCCGAGATAGTCGCGTATATGTGAGCATAGTTGAATCGGGAATCAGCGCGTAAACGGCCGGAATCATTATTCCATTTTTCATTACATGCAGAGAATAGAGTGAGTGAAACAGATGCGGGACACTCTTAAAACTTCCGACAGAATATACATGATTTGCCTCACACAAGTATTTGAGAAAAGTGTCGGTGGCAAAATCTAATATCTTATCAACACCACCGTCAGAAATTTTATAAAACTTTTCAGTAGAACTTGATTGGAGATTTTCCGGAATGAGTATTTCATCTCGAGTTCGAGATAATGGTGGAAAACGCGAAGAACGAGCATGGCCAATAGTTTTTTGAGCTTGTCAAAAGTTTTTAATCCATTGGCTATTTCATCAGCTGGCAACGAAAGAGATGATAAAACTTTTTCAGTTTCGTCATTGTAAACTGATTTGAGTTTACAATATGATGATTGGCCTGCAATTGACTTGGCTCCATTTTTGTTCAATTTCAATCACTTTTTTAATATTTTGTTCATGATTGTGATCAGATTTTGATTTTAGATCACCAAAAAGTAGATTAATTTTGCCCTTACAATTTTCATTCACACACCCAATAAGAGGTATCGCCTGAGGTTGATCTCTTTCGATAAACATTGTTTTCATAAATTAACAATTTACCACCTTTATTAGATTGCACGTATTTAAGGGAATCACTCATGTTGATCAAATAAAAAATGAGAGAAAATTATTGCAATTCGATCAGTTCGAAAGTTTGATCTAAATTGATTCAGAAAATAGATCTTTAGAAAGTAGAGGAAATAAACCATGAACGAAAATTTCCATTGAAATTCATAAGTAAATTTAATTGTTCTAAATAGTTTAATTTAAACGATTTAATTTTGCTCATTTGACTTTTGCTGTTTTGACTTTTGCTTTTCTGACCCTTTACCGTTTAGCAACGGCCTAAAGTCTTACTAAGAGCATTATGTGAATTGAATCTCCAGGTTTGGGATTATGATTAATTCAATGGATTTCATTGTCTGGTGACGATTTTTGGTTGTTTACTCAATACTAATCAATTCATTTGATTTTTCCTTCAAGCGGCAAAAGAATGCACCTTGGACATACTTTCGAACAGTTCAACAATTAGTTCTGCTGATTCGAGTAACAACAATCAAATACAATTAAAAGTTCATGAATCTACTTATTCAAAGAAAAACGTATCAGAGGTTGGTGGCTTTTCTAAGCAAATCTAGCCGATTAATTAACTGTAAGTATTAATAATTACAACATAATTAGAGTCAATTAATTGTTGTCAAAATGAGAAGGAAAACAATTAATTACTGTTAGTATATTAATATGTTTGTGTTGAAGAGTTAACAAGATGATTTAACATAGAAAACAAAAATCTCCAAATTGCAACAATTTATTTTTGTTTCATTTGACAATTTCCCCAACACTCTTAATAATCATCAATTAACAATCAAATCAATTGGATTAACGATAAATGACAATTCCCCAAGTTTTAGTCTTAAATATAATCCCCATCATGAAACCGTAAACATAAATTGTTGGCAATAGTTAAATTGTACATTTGAAGTAACCTCAAAATCTCAATCATCATAATCATTATGATCACCATTTATTTCAATGATTAATTAATTGTTATCCATTCACTTTTCCCATAGGGTAAATTGGAGGCTGATTTTGAACTGTTAACCCAAGACGAAGCTGATGCTAATCCGGCTGGATTAGCACGAGATCCAACTCAGCCTTTGGATTAGCCTCAGTAAGTTGAATAATCAGATAAGGCGAATGATCAATTCTGTTAATTGTCCAATCAATTCTTCTCTAATCAAATTAGGCAACCTGATACATCGTTCACATGGCTCGCTAATCCGTGGAAATCGTTTCGATACATCATTTGGACTCGACGAAAATTGTTCTTCTTTAAGCTTTTACTTTTCGTTTTCTTTTTGATATTTTTCTATTCTCTACCAGATTACACAGTTAAGAAAATGATTGGAGCTTAATTAACTTCTGATTGTGATCAACTAATTACATTACTCAAGGTCTTCGATGCAGTTATGTATGGACGATAATCTAATGACAACTTTATCAAAAAGCGCTAGTAACAAATTGAGATGAATAAAATACTCAAACAATTAAGATTAATGATTATTGAATTCCATTCACTAATTAATTAGTTCAGTTAACTTCAATCACTTTAACCCGAAGGAAGGAAAAGGATCTAAACAATTAACTGTGGAAATGATTAACTTCGGTAGTATGATTTATCTTAATGATTTTTGTCTGAAAACCCAAAATTAACTAATCGTTAAATGGTTGAGTAAAATTTTTGATTTCTATTTATAATTAATATTAATTGACAATTTAAATGATTAACTTAGATCAACAATAATCATTTGGAGTAATAAGTTTACGGTAAATTAAAAATGTAAACCATTTACCGTTAGGATTTTTGCGTTTTTTGTTTACTTTGGATGATAATTGTTAATTGCAAGGGTTTCCCTTTGAAGATTATGATCAAAGTTAATCACTGATTGTCAATTTTAATTATAATTATCATGTTTTTCATTTTCATCCTTCAAGAATGTTGATCATCATGAAAGAGAGAGAAGATAAATTTTCATCTTTCTACTGTCATGATTTGTTTTTTTGATGAGAATTATTATTTTCTGGAATCGACCCAAAAACAATAACATGTTAGGCATTTTTACACACAAAAGAAGTGGTTAATTACTTTTGAATCAATCAAATTCATTTTACAATTAGTTGGATGACAATTAATCCAATTGAGAGTCAATTATAATATCATATTATAATTGGTATTTGGTTATGTTTGTTTGTTTTTTGCCTTTCAAAGATCTTTCAAATTTATAATTTAGATCTTACAATTTACAGATTTAGTGTTAATAATATTAATAGTTAATAACTGTGTTGTTTATAAATATACATATTAATATATTACTTTCTTATTGTATATATTATTAATTATATTTGTTCCATGTGTGTATGTGGATCCATTTAAATTCATCAGAATCGAAAACCTTTGAATAAGCAATGTCAACATTTCGAGCTGAAAATGATTTAAGAAAAGATAGTCACATAGAGAGTGAAACTGGATGGTAATGGTGGTGGTGGTGGTGGTGTGGGTATAGATGGTGTGAGTTTATGTGAGGAGGAAGAGGACAAAAAATAAATATTGATTGATTGGCATTACTTGTGAAAAAGATATATACCAAAAATCAAATGTGAGTGTAAATTGTTGAAAGTTAACTTTTGACATTCAATTTGGTAACAGGGTATGTTGATTGACATTCTGATTGAGATAAAGTAAAAGTGATGAGAAGTTATTATCAATTCAATTTCAATTGGCTTGGTTTCTCCTTTATCCCAAGGTATCGGGTTCACTTGGTACGAGACTTTTATCAATTTATCTCTTTGGTTGTGTGATTACCATCAACATCATCTCATTGGTATTTTAAATGAGCAACAAGTTTGTGCGACATGTTTGAATTATCGGGCATTAGAAATTTTCTCAATTAACAATAACCTTAATTTAGATAAGGTTCAACGTGCATATCATAATGACATTTGTGATAATGACACTTATGTGGTGTCATCGATGAGCCTCTGGAAGTGTACATGGGGATTGGTTCATCGATTACTGGTCGTTCATAAGCTCGAATTGACATATTATGATGACTAGGATAAATTGGATAAGGTGGCAGAGGGTGAGTGGGTGGAGGTGAATATAAACGAGCTGGTGTTCCTCCACCAGCGGATGATCTATGATCATGAGGGGGATAATTTCTTTCTCTACCATAATAATCTGCTTCGTAGTAAATTTTTCTTTCATAGGCTCTATAATCATCTTGATAGTAAGGTGAAGAGTAACCTCCATATAAACGTCCAGGCGGTAGTGGCGGTGGTGGAACAGATGATGGTGGAATTTGATTGTTTACAAGAGGACGTAACGGTGGTAATGGCACAGAGTGTGGTAGTGGAGGTGGACCTAAACTTGTTCTATGGTTGATAAAAGGTTCACGGTGATACGGAGTGTGACTATGGATACGAGATCGAATACCTTTAACCATGCGAGAAGAACCTTTGGCTCGACCTAATGTCCCAGGTTCAGGATGAACTTTACTCGTAGAGAACTAAAAATAGACATAAAGAGGAGAAAAGTCGATGAGAAAAGCATTGATTATACTTATAAGTAAATATATATCAGAAAGAACTAATCAAGTAAGCCACTCGTATCTTCCACAACGCACTAGAAAAGGGGAATAAGTAGGAAGAAAAGTGAGAGAGAATGTCTCCCTAAAGATGCAAAAGGATGATCCAAGAGGGAAGAGGATGAAGATAAGGATGAAAAGATGAAGATGAGATGGAGAAGAGGAAATACGACACCTTTCTTTTCCCCCATGAATGTTTTTTCTAGTTTGTTGCGGAGGAGGGAAGAATCATGGAGAGAGAGAATAAAGTGGATGAAGATAAATATATGTTAGGACGAATTGGTGTAAACAAGCCATTTTTATCTATTTTTGGCGCAAACCTTTCCAACGGTCAGATGTGTAAAAATCCATCAACTTTCACCGAATAGATTATAAAGATTAACATTTTTTCTGCGATTTAGGTAACGTCATGGTGAAAAAATCTTTCCGGGTAATCAAATACGCATATATTAAGTCGGAGAGATTCATGTCTTCTTTTGACAAATCGAGAAACGGATCATCTCATTATGAGTGAAACTGATTAGGGTTTAAAGAGGGAGAGACGAAGATTAAGGTGGATTTTGTGGTGGTGGTTTTCGCTTGATATTATGAAACAAGAGGGAGAAAGAGTCTCCAAATAATTTAAATTGGCTTCTAAAGTGAGAAAGAAGGAGAGAGAGAGAGAGATGGAGAGAGGTAGGAAGAGAAGGAAAAATATGAAAACAACAATTTTTTGTACCTCAACAGTTAATACGGATCCCATGAAAGAATATCTGTTCAGTTTTTTGACACACTCTTCAGCCTCCTCAGACTTGCTCATATGCTTTTAAACATCAATGGAAAATGATGATCACCATGATGATGTAGATGATGGTAAAAGCAGCAACGGGGTTCAGTAAGTAGTAAGGTTAAAATTGGGATGATATGGAAGGAGAAAGAGAAATAGAAAGAAAGAAAAACGGTGAGAAAAAAATCAAGTGATCAATCTGATTCATGATAATGTTAAGCTCTAAGGAAAATAAGATGGCGGAAACGTATTTTTCTTCGCAAAGGAAAGAAAATGTTCCAAAAAACAGGCGTGACATTTGCAACAGAGAAATAATTGAGAAGAGAGATAATTGTGAAATCTGACAAACTGTCATTACGATACTTACCACAAATCCATATCTACCGACTACATCACATTCTTTTACTTGTCCATACTTTCTGAACAAATCTTCGAGTTGATTTGATGTACAGTTATCAGGTAAACGTCCGACGAAAAGTTTTGTTCTCTGAAAAATTATGGAGAAAAACAAAGGTGTGAATGGATATATGGATGAGATAATCCAAAGAGATTAATGGAAGCCAAGATTGAAAGGGTTTAGAATAACAGTTTAACATACTGGAACATAGAGATGATCATTATTGTTGTTGGTGGTGTTTTGGTTTGGTAAAGATTGTTCGGTGGTTTGAGATGAGAATGGAGATGACAAGGAAGATGAAGACGAAGTTGATGATGATGAGGATAATGATAATTGAGATGGTTGTTGTTGATGAGATAATTGTTCTTGATGATGATGATGATGATTAGTTACTTCATCTTGATGTATCACTGAATGTTTTTGTTGGTCAACAAGTTGAGAATGGTGATCATTAGTATTTTCTAATGATTGTGTGAACAATTGATTGATAACAACTGACTGAGAATCGAAACATTGGTCATCAGTTGTGCCATCATGATGATTTAAGTGATTACTACTTGAGTAATTGTCACTTTCTCCCGTCTGTAAGAAATTAGAAACGAAATAGAAAACAAAAATCAAAATTTTGCTGGAAAAAACATTCTACAAATAGAACAGAAAATCAGCTTAATTTATCTCGAAAATTTTAAGTTAATAATAATAATTAATCGATTTTAAAATCTAATGGAAAGACAAAAGTTAAGAAAAGAACTTTTGTCTATTTAACGAAATCTCATAGTTTTTGTCTGATCGCAATTAGAAAAATTAACTGTCAACTTACCTGACCATTCATTGTGAGTTGAAAAGAACAAAATTAAAACAAAGAACACGAAAAACACACAAGTTGACCAACACCAAAAAAGAACAAACAAAAGATGGAAAATGGCAGCAAAAGAACAATCCAGTATCCGAAAGGTGGAAAGTGTTTGGTGGTGACACTAATCAATTCTGATTATCATAAGTTGACAAAAGCGTTACCAATAAGGTGATCATCTGATAAGATTGAATCCATCTTTTGATTGGTTGGTAAATGTAAATCACAAGAGAAAAGAGTCAGGAGAAAAGAAAAAAGAAAAAATTATAAGAGAATAGAAAAAAAAGTTGATTTCAACAAAGAGGTAAAAAAGAAATTAAATGTCGGCCAAGAGAAAGAGAAAATTCTCTTGACTTAACAGGAAATGAGGAAAATATTGATAAGGAAAATGGCGTATCAACGAGAGTTCACAGAAGAAAATGAACAATTAATTATTAGCAGTTAATTAATTCCACTAGCAACAATTGTTAGAGAAACATTTAAATTGTGATTGTGATTATAAGTTAAAGAAACAAGAAAAAAAGCTTACCTGTTGATACGGCGGAAGTTAAATTAATGTTGAGGGGATTAAAATTTAGTTCTCCAATTAGATTTTTAATCAGTAAGATGATGTTAATTAATTCTTTCGCAATAAATTGGAAGACAAACTCAATTAAATGATTAGAAAAGAGAAAAAAATTAACTTAATTGTTAACGTTCTCGAGTCAAGAAACTAACGATTAATAAACAGAGAGACAAAGAGAGAGAAAAGAAAGAAAATTTTTGTTCTTTCTTTTATTCCATTTGTGCTGCCATCTCTTGGTTGGTTTGATAATCTCTCGAACTTATGGTAAGACAATTAACTAATTAATCATTGATTACCAATTAAATTGTAATCAATTTATGAGTCGGCCTTTTTTGGAAATAAATCTACATGGAGGAAGGAAGGAAGATTGTGGAAATTAATGACTTGATTGTGATGATAACCTTTTATAGCCATTGATATGAGAGTTAATTACAGTTAATTTAATTGTGATTAGAAAACAAAAAGTTAATTTGATCAATTTTATTTCATTTTATAATTTTAATTTTAATTGGCACAAGAATAGTTGTGAAAAAAGACTTGTGATTCAACACTAATTGTTGTGAGAAAGGAAATTAAACTTCATTAATTGAAATTGGAGTTAATTGTTGACCGGTTAATTTACAGTGACAATTAAGATTATCGCATTGATTATAATCATTAATTGACAATTTAGTATTTAGATTATTAAATTGATCATGATTGTTTTGATCATCGTAATTTGAATCAACTGAAGAAGCCAATGAAGTAATTAATTGTTGATTAATTAGTAAAGGTTTCTGCTCATTGTAATTGGATTGATTTGATTGTGAATTAATATAATTAAGTTGATCAATTGATTTAGATGACAATCTACTTGGATCAAGGATAATTGTTGTAACTGGTTTATTTAACTTTTCATCTGATTGTCCAATATCAGCTGAATTAAATTGCAGATTAACTGGATTAGGAAGGTTAATCCAAGATGGTGATGATGTTGATTTACAAATTGTTGATTCTTCAGTTGATTTAATTAAATTATCATGTTGATGAAAGAAACGATTAGATTTATCAATAAAATAAGAGGTTAGACATTTAATTGTAACAATTAACAGACCAATTGATGTGAAAATTAATCCAAGGGTAGTGATTGGTGTTGTCACTGATCCTGAAAGGATTGCACTAATTAAGAGGATAATTAATCCAATACCAATTATAAAAATCGCAATTACTGTTAATCCAGTTGATTGTTGATTTAATTTTTTCATCTCCCGATATTTAGCTGAATCAACACCTCGATTATCATAGTAAATGATTCCAGTTGATTCATAGGGATGACAATTAATATGATGATGATAGTTATTAGAATAATAACCATTTAGATGATTAGCTAATTGCTGTTGATTTTGCTGTTCACTAATTGCTGATCCAAATGATAATATTCCAGGGTGAAAATTGTTAACATTTTGATCTTGATTAGTTTTATTTCCAGCTAACAATAAGGATTCACGTTTACGTTTACGTTTCAATGCAAAGGCCCCACCGATCATGATTAACTGTCCAAATTAGTCAACAATTAACTCTTTGAATTAACGGTGATCACAGAAATAGTAATAAAATTTGCTCATTGATTAGTTTAAACTAATTATCATACAAGTTGTAATTATATCTTAATGTGGTTTATAAGGTGATGGTTGGTTGTTAGAGTTAAACAATCAACTAATCATTAGCATGATAAAATAGAAAGTGATTCCAACATTATTTTTATCAGTTTATGATTAACTATTGGGTTGACCAGAATTATTGATTATCTTGATTATTGCTGAATTATTGCCGTTATTGATTTGAGCCCTGGGAGTGGGTTCAGTTTCAATGTGGGAGGATGATTAAGATAATCAGAATAGAATTAAGGAATTAATATTGATCATCAGTTATTGTTGGAGATCGAAAATCGTGAATATGATGATTATCGTTTTTGTTAATTGTTGATGACAATTTTCAACTTGACCTTCAATTGATTAACTGATTCAGATCGATAGAAATTATTTTCTCACCTCTCTTTTTACTATGATTTCGTAATTAACTCTAGTTGATTGATTATTGACAGATTCATCGATCAGGTTTATTTTGAGTGCTAAGCAATTGATCTTACGATATAATTAAGACCTTGATGACTCGATTTTTCTCTTTGTTTTCTCTTACCTTTTTGTCACGAATCCATGTCAAAGGTCATGAGATTGTGCTGAAGTGAAATTTCAACTCACTTTAAAAAGTTTGAAAATAGAAGTTGTGTTGAAACAATTGAATTAGAATCCAAGCAAATTTGTGCCGTTCGATTGATGAAATTATATCGATGGAATTGTTTTAGAAAAATTGATTATGATGCTGATATTTTGTACGAAATTGGCTCAGTTGTTGGTCGTTTGTCGTTAATTATGAAGGTAAAGCAATAGAGCGATTTGATTGTTAACTTTCGAATAAATTTGTTTTTCTCGATTTTATCCCGAAAATAATCCTTGATCCAAGTAGATTGTCATCTAAATCAATTGATCAACTTAATTATATTGATTCACAATCAAATTAATCCAATTACAATGAGCAGAAAACTTTTTTAATTAATCAACAATCAATTACTTAATTTGTTACTATATGACTCTTGATTCTCTGATTATAAAGTGACACATGAAGAAACAGAAAATCAGAGAAATGGGAAAAGGTAATTGGTCGAAATGAACTTTGGGTTGATTATTCAACTCTTCGGTCCTTCAACAATTGCCTTCTTCTTTCAAGGTCAAAAACCTTGTCAAAACCTCATAATGACGTAGTAGCCCAATATCCTTGATCGATACTTGCATATCAACATTTAATAATCCAACGTTTCTTTCAATTACTGGTGTTATAAACGAATGCCCTTGGTAATAATGGTATGCTAATAACAGAGCACTCGATAGAGTATTGATACTTTAATGTCCAATTCAAAATGTGTTGCAATCGGTTGGTCAAGATTCTTCGTAGTATATTCATAAAAACCTTGAATTGGAACGAGTCGATTTGATAAACCGATGAATGGAAAGTATGTTGACAAGAAAATGAACAAGAGTAAACCAAATTTACTCTTAATCAACAATAGAAACTTTTGGAGTCGAGATTGTTCAGTATTTCCATTTTCAGCTCCATGTATCGAATATGATAAGTTATGAGCATTAATCTATTGTCTGTTGAGCAAAATAAATGAGAAAAGCTCTGTTGAGGCGAAAGTGTTCAAATCATACGCTGAATTCAATCTAATGAATGATGAGTTTGGTCAAGTTCTCTCATAATACAAGATAATGTTTTCATATAAACGTATCTTAGTAATATCGAAATGCTTTTATTCTAATCTGTGTCTGCACAATATTCGAAGATCTCTTAGATTTTCCAAACAGTAGCCCACGATTGCTGACTTTCTTGGTAAGATATTCAGCGATAAAAACAGTGAATGCAAGAATATTAAGTGATACATGAAGATACAGAAAGTCAGAGAAATTAGAATCGTTAATTGGTCGAAATGAACTTTGAGGTTGAGTGTTCAGATTTTCGAGATGCCAACATTGTGAATATTGTTTTCTTATCAAAGGACCAAAAATCTTGCTAAAAGCTCGATCTGCAGTAGCAGTCCAATATCCTTGATCAATACTTGCGTATAAACATTTAATAATCCAACGTTTCTTATGAGGATTCTTGGTGTTATAAAAGATTGTCTTTTGCTCCTCATAATACAAACTTGTACTAGTATGGAAAAGAAAATCATTTTCTTTATTGTTTAATATCTTTACAGTACAGAATCGCAATAATACGTTTTGTACTAAATCGCTTGATTCAAAATGTGTTAGAATTGGTTTGCCAAGATTTTTTGCAACATATTCTTCAAAATCAGCATATTTCACAGGAACGAGTGAATTTGATAAACCAAATGATTCATTTGCTCGATACATACATATCAAGTTTATAAAAGCAGAACAATTGACTCTAGGGTGTGAATTTAGGTCAGACCATTTGTTGACTGGTGGTGGTCGAAGTGCTATCGAGTATTCAGTTGTGAACGATGCTGAAAATAAATGGAAAATGTAATGACCAGAAAATGAACAAGAAAGAAACAAGAGTAAACCAAATTTACTCTTAATAAGCAATAGAAACTGTCGGAGTCGAGATTGGTCAATATTTTCATTTTCATTTCCATTGGTCGAATATGATCTCATGAAATATATCACCAAGCCAAGAATAATCAACAACGAGATGAGAAGGTAAACAGAATAATCGATGATCTCAAATGAAGATAGAATTCCCTTGTTAATTGAAGGGACAGACGAGTTTGGATAGATACTCATGAAGACACAATAACTACTCATTACTACTGGACTCATGGATACATTCGGTAATCCATAAATGAACTCTCTTATGAAGTTTTCTTTAAACATCAGGTCATAATTTTCCTGCGAAGAAGCTAAAACATAAAGTCGATTTTGACGGTTTGCCGTGAGAAAAGAAATTTCTATTGGAATGTGGCCTAAAATATTGGATAAAAACAAAGAATCTAGTTCTCTGGTAAGTCGAGGAATAGCTGTTTCAGCAGCCGTGAATAAAATTTTAAAAGGATCTTGAGTAAAGTTCATTTTCTATTCGAAGCTCGGAACGAACAAATTTAAAGTAAAACTTCGACGTGCAAATTAAAGAACAAGATGAAATGAACGAAATGGAATCATTCTAATTATAATGTTAAAGTTTCTTTGTTCAATTTGAAAAAAGTTTTTGTTCTCTCAATGATTTTCTGGTAAAATTCATTTTCCATTGTATTGATTGAGTTACCATCTAAACCATTTCCTACTAATGAAAGAAGATCACCTAATGATTGAATTTATTATGATTGATTTTTGATTTTCGCATGATCGATAATCTAAGTTTTGCACTAAATATCGAATTTCGAAAAGCTTCAATTCTAAATTAGATCTTCTCAACACTCGAAACTCTTCACGATTTTTCTTCTAAATAAATAGTAGAATTTTTACTCTTTGCTTTGGAAGTTAGATTTTCATTCCATAACAATATAATTAGATTATTAAATCTTTTTCACACAAAATGATATTGTTTTTCAATCGAATTGTTTTTGTCTGTTGAACAAATTAAATGAGAAAAGATCTGTTGAGGTGAAAGTGTTCAAATCATACGTTTAATTCAATCTAATGAATGATAAGTTGTTTACTATAAAGAAAATGGCCCAGCAATTGATGAACATATTACGATGAACGATGGTTGAAATGTCTTGAGTTCCTTTCCGATCTATGGAAACAAGGTGGTTTACTTAATTGTCGATTAAATTGTGAGACATAAGCTTCATCTCGATCAGTGTATCGATCCTTGAATTCATCTTCCAATTGAGCGAAAAATGAAGATGAGCCAATGGACGAAGAAGATTCTGATTGATACAGTTCATCATTTTTAAAAGAATCTGAAGACATCATGAAGAATCAAATGAAGGAATCACAATTAGAATGAAGCAGTTGATTAAAAGGATAATTAGCAGAAAAAGAGATAAACATCAGCTGATTTTTTATTTTTCTTTTTAGTTTCTATTTAATCCACTAGATGGAATATGAGTGAATTCTAATTGAAGATATTAAGAGACGAACCCTCATTTCCTTCATTTCCGTTTCATGTGAAATAATTTTCTTAGTTTTCAATTAATTTAAACTAATTTAATTTAATTATCTTTTTTTTTGGTGAGTTCGAACAAGTTTCGTGGTCAAAACCTTAAGTAAGTAGTTTATTCTATTTGTTTGTATTGTCTTCATCTTTCTCTTGTCAAGTGCTCATCTCATTTTGTATTTTGTTTTCTTTTTCTTTGTAATAGAAATGCGTTACTTGAGTGCTTACCTTTTGGCCACTCTCGGTGGAAATTCTAATCCTTCTATTGATGATATTTCTGGTATTTTATCATCTGTTGGTATTGAGGTTGACAAAGAACGAGCCACTAAGGTTATCGCTGAATTGAAAGGAAAAAATGTCGCTGAATTGATCGCTGCTGGTAAGTTGTAGTGATAGTTGTTGATACTTTAAAATAAGAAAGTGATTTGTTGATCAAAAATTGATAAATTTGTTTTCTTCTATTCTTTTCTCTTTAGGTTCTACTAAACTTGCTTCAGTTCCTTCTGGAGGTGGAGGAGGTGGTGGTGCCGCTGCTCCATCCGGTGATGCTGCTAAAGGAGATTCACCAGCCAAAGAATCAAAGAAAGAAGAAAAGAAAGAAGAAGAGGAAGAAGAAGATGACGACATGGGTTTCGGTCTATTCGATTGATCTCATCATTTACTTATCACTCAAAATTCTGTTTTTCTATTCCAATATCCAGTTTGGACATGAAAACGATAGTTTTATTTATAAAAATGATCGTTAAATAAACTATTGTTGATAAAAATTCAAACATCTATAACAAATTAACTTTATTTACTCTACTCAATTAACAAAAATTGTGATTGGACCGAAAATGAAAACATTTCTTGTCTTGAGAGAAATCATCTTTTACCTCATCAACTTGATCCATAATCAAGTAAACAAATCGATCAACAATCAATGCAAAAGTTATCCAATGTTAGTGTGAGATACAAGAGTGAACTAGTTAATAACTCATCTTGACAATGAAGATTAATATTCCTAATTAGATGTTTGGTCTTTTCGATAAGTTTATCAAACTCTATTTCCCATTCTCTCGACTTACCCAATGAATTACCAAACATCAAATCGAAATATTGAGTTTTCCATCTTGCAGATGAAATAATTTCTCATAAGTTATAAACATTTAATACTTTAAATATATTTCGTATTATATATAATATACATTTTTCGGTGGATGAACAAATTTTATATAAAATTATGATAAAGATTAACTCGTTTACAGATAAGCTAATCTTATTAGAAAAATTAAGAATAGAAACATTTTCTATTAAATGAGAAGCTTTGAGAATCAATTTAAATTAAAGGTTCCAATGGATAATTGTGATAAAAATCAATGATGATAGGTAATGTACAGGAAAAGTGATAGTTGGATCAACGTACAACAATTGAAACAAATCAAAAGGATTTTCAATGATCAACAATTTGATGGGAAATGAGTTAATCCTCACAACCTATTTGACTGAAATCAAATTACTCTTTGATTGTTATTATTAAATATCTAAATTGTTGTAACCTTGAGAAGCGTAACGTTGACGATCTCTTGACATACTGATGATTAGATTTTCTCGTTCATGATAAATGGATAACTTTCGTCCAGCCAGAACCAATAGAAGAACCCAAGAAACGAACAATGTCCAAATACCAAACTAGAAAAGAAAATGACAGAAAGAGAAAGGTGAAAATAGAGAGAATATTTTTACATGAGAATTGGAAATTTACCTGAACAGTTCCCATTTGAATAAAGAAATTGGTTGTGTTAATTTCTTGATTATCTTGAGTGATATGAAGAATTCCTTGTCCAGCTTCACATGAACTGAATCTCTGTGAAACTGAGCTACACCATCGGGAAAATCCACTGGTCACAAAAATAGCATCAAGAATGGTCAACCCAACGAATAGAAAAGCAATAACAGTGTCCCAAAAGGCTGAGATGAAAGAGCTGAAATAGAAAACAATCAAATTAATCTCCATTTAATTTCATCAATTGTCTAGTTCTCTTCCTTACCTGTCGACACCTTTCCTTAGGAAATGTGACATTCTGATTAATTGTGCTAAGGAAACTAGAACGATAGCTGCAGATAGAATTGCCGTGTAAGTACAATATCCACAGGAGGCCCATGTAGGCACGAAATCTCCGGTGTCAAGAAAAACGCCCGAAGTATAAAGTAAACAATTTCCTTTGAAATTTTTCATATTTACAATCAACGGAATTAAAACACAAAAAGATAAAATAAACGAAACAAGATAACCCGCGATCTGAGTTAATAGAAGAACATTTCCAATGGCCATGATTGAATTGGTTTCTTCAATTAACCATCAAAAGAAAAACAATCAATTAAAACAACAAAAGCTCAATTCTAATTGTGAGAATACAAATTAATCAAAACAGAAAAAAAATGTAAACAAGAAATTCTATTTCTCTTTATCGCCACTAGATGGAGATAGAATTTCATTTTGTTATTTTCAAAAGAATTGAAAAATTAATGTTAATCATCATGAGACACTTTGTGATAATTAGTTAATTAGTTAAACATGTTCAATTATGTTTAATTAATTGGTATCCAATAGATTAGATCTCAGGCTAGTTGAATGATCAGATTGTGACCTCATAATTGATGACCTTTGGATTTAATTAAACACTGATTTATATTTCCAATGGTTTCAAATTCAAACAATTAGTGATAATTAATCATCTAATCATTTGATTTTGAAATAAACAACAATAGTAATTAAACGTGTTGATTATTTAGCTTCTCCTCGTCGGCAATTATTTCAATTGTAACATTACAGAGTTAATTATGACGCTAATTGTGATGATCAAGATGGTGAATGAAAAAAGCGGCAATTATATAAATTGAATCAAAATTTTTCTTGGCAAAGTTTTGTTTTAATTAATTTTTTTGTTTTTATTTGATTTAGATGATGATCGACGACTTGAAGAGCTGCCACTTCCCGATTGTCCAGTAGTCGTTGGAGTTGAACAATTTCTTGAGCAATTCATATATTGAGTGATTAAATTTGTGGCTGATCCAGGAGATGAATTTGTTGTATTAGGCACCAAATCTGATAAAAGTGCGGCCGCTGCAAGAGAGCCCGCTCGCGTTAAGCCTCGACCACTACGTCCTTCAGTTGAAGATGAAAACGGAGAGGAGGGTGAAGATGAAATTCTTTCGTTGTAAGTGCGATAGTATATTGTGTGAGTTTTCCATCTTGCAGATGAAATAATTTCTCATAAGTTATAAACATTTAATACTTCAAATATATTTCGTATTATATAATATACATTTTTCGGTGGCTGAACAAATTTGTATAAAATTATGATAAAGATTAACTCGTTTACAGGTAAGCTAATCTTATTAGAAAAAGTAAGAATAGAAACATTTTCTAATAGATGAGAAGCTTTGAGAATCAATTTAAATTAAAGGTTCCAATGGATAATTGAGATAAAAATCAATGATGATAGGTAATGTACAGGAAAAGTGATAGTAAAAGGATTTTCAATGATCAACAATTTGATGGGAAATGAGTTAATCCTCACAACCTATTTGACTGAAATCAAATTACTCTTTGATTGTTATTATTAAATATCCAAATTATTGTAACCTTGAGAAGCGTAACGTTGACGATCTCTTGACATACTGATGATTAGATTTTCTCGTTCATGATAAATGGATAACTTTCGTCCAGCCAGAACCAATAGAAGAACCCAAGAAACGAACAATGTCCAAATACCAAACTAGAATAGAAAATGACAGAAAGAGAAAGGTGAAAATAGAGAAAATATTTTTGCATGAGAATTGGAAATTTACCTGAACAGTTCCCATTTGAATAAAGAAATTGGTTGTGTTAATTTCTTGATTATCTTGAGTGATATGAAGAATTCCTTGTCCAGCTTCACATGAACTGAATCTCTGTGAAACTGAGCTACACCATCGGGAAAATCCACTGGTCACAAAAATAGCATCAAGAATGGTCAACCCAACGAATAGAAAAGCAATAACAGTGTCCCAAAAGGCTGAGATGAAAGAGCTGAAATAGAAAACAATCAAATTAATCTCCATTTAATTTCACCAATTGTCTAGTTCTCTTCCTTACCTGTCGACACCTTTCCTTAGGAAATGTGACATTCTGATTAATTGTGCTAAGGAAACTAGAACGATAGCTGCAGATAGAATTGCCGTGTAAGTACAATATCCACAAGAGGCCCATGTAGGTACGAAATCTCCGGTGTCAAGAAAAACGCCCGAAGTATAAAGTAAACAATTTCCTTTGAAATTTTTCATATTTACAATCAACGGAATTAAAACACAAAAAGATAAAATAAACGAAACAAGATAACCCGCGATCTGAGTTAATAGAAGAACATTTCCAATGGCCATGATTGAATTGGTTTCTTCAATTAACCATCAAAAGAAAAACAATCAATTAAAACAACAAAAGCTCAATTCTAATTGTGAGAATATCAAATTAATCAAAACAGAAAAAAATGTAAACAAAAAATTCTATTTCTCATTATTGCCACTAGATGGAGATAGAATTTCATTTTGTTACTTTTCAAAAGAATTGAAAAATTAATGTTAATCATCATGAGACAATTTGTGATAATTAGTTAATTAGTTAAACATGTTCAATTGTTCATATCACTTTAATTACTTGGTATCCAATAGATTAGATCTCAGACTAGTTGAATCATCAGATTGTGACCTCATAATTGATAGAATGCCTTTTGGATTTAATTAAACACTGATTTACATTTCCAATGGTTTCAAATTCAAACAATTAGTGATAATCATCTAATCATTTGATTTTGTAATAAACAACAATAGTAATTAAACGTGTTGATTATTTAGCTTCTACTCATCGGCAATTATTTCAATTGTAAAATTAAAGAGTTGATTATGATGCTAATTGTTATGATCAAGATAGTGAATGAAAAAAGCGGCAATTATATAAATTGAATCAAAATTTTTCTTGGCAAAGTTTTGTTTTAATTAATTTTTTGTTTTTATTTGATTTAAATTGTTTCAATTATCAAACACAGAAAATGACATTACATAATTATCAAAGAAGATTATTACTTAATAATTTCTCATGAAAGTGGAAAGAAAAGTCAATTATTGTGAGATGATATAAAAAAATGACCAATGGTCAATAAAGAGATGAAAAAAGTATAACAAATCATGAGAGTTATTGAGATAAATACAAGAGGATTCCCATCGGTGGGTATTTATCAAGACATTTATGACCCCATAGAAGTTGATGATAACAATTAAGATGATGATGAGTACATTATTTGCTTCAGGTAATCAAAAGACAACGATGTCTAAGATGTTGAACCAGTGGAAAAACTTATGGCCACTCGAAATTGGGTCTTGGGTGTTCGTAATTTTCATAATCGAATTGAGAAAAGAATCTTGAACTTCGATGATCCCAATCTTGCCAAGGTTCGGCTGGTGGGTTCCTGTGAATGGTCAGAAAGGACAATGGAGATCGAACATTATGGACTAGAGCAGTTGAAGCCATCGAAATCGGAAGAACAGTGGTAATTATACCAGCGGGAATTATCCAGGAGTTTCGACGAACAACTCGAGCAATTGAAGCCATGATTAATCAGATGATTTCGATTAAGATGAATGGAAAAGGAAGACACAAATTAGAGGAAAGATTTTAAACTTTCAAATTGATTGAGATTACGAATTGAATGTTGATTGTAAAAAGTAAAGAGAAATTTGATTGTTATTGTTAGAAAATGGAATTAGAATTGATTGTTGATGTTTGTTGGTTGAATGTTCGAACTCGAATGGATTGGTTTCTATTGTTGATCTCCTTTTTAAAGGAATATCACTAACCCACCTCACTGAGGTTCTCACTTTCTCCTCAATGAATATCTGCTTTCGATCACGTACACATCCAGGCTTTCACTTTCTTCTCATCCTCATCCTCTCTCTCTCTCTCTCTTTAGGTTAACTTTCTCTTTCTTTCTGTTTATCTTCTTCTCTCTTTTGGCCTTCAATCGAAAATCACGTGATGTAAACAAAACTTTTTTCTTTATATTTTTGTTTGTCTTCTAAAAGATTTTCTCATTACGTGATCATTTTACACCTTTGACTTGATCATTTTCCACAAATCAACATTAACTATCAACATTTCCATTGATTTTATCATCTTAATAGTCTCAACCTTTAACCTCACTGCTACTAATCTACTTCCTGGTCACTTGATCACCTTATCTCTCTTTGGTTATGGTTTACTATGGATTAAAATAGTAATGGGTTTACCTTCAAGGCGAAAATGTTATTTTTTTTCAACACAATTTGTTACTTTCAACCAACTCGTTTCCATTTCAATTCTTCTACCTTGATTCTCTTCAGAATTGATCGATTGTAAGTGCTACTAATTCACCTTCAATTTCTCTTTCACTGTAAATAATTATCTCCATATGTTCAAATATCAAAACAATAGATAAGTATCATAATTATATTCTCTCTCTTTCTCTCTTTCTCTCTTTTCGCTTTCGAAAGAAAAGTTCTATTTCTTTTTTTCTTTCTTCTTCTTCTCTGTTACAGTTCATTCACCTTGATATTTTTCTCATTTTTATATTCACAGAGAAAAAGAAATAAAAACTCCTTCCCTTTCTTTTCTCTCTCTCTCTCTCTTTCTAGTCTTTCTGGTTCCTTAACCAAAATTACGTGATCTTCATCATTCCTCTTCTAATATCATCCCCTAACCTTAAGTATCTCTTGCTCTCTCTATGACAAGGTCATCAAGGTTCTTTATTGCCAAAAATAGAATCTAAAATATACAAGGAAAATCTTTTCCATTGCTTTTCCATTCTAATTGCTATTAGTTTATTTTCCATTGATACTTTACCTTAATAACTTTTTCTAGGAAAAGTTGACCTAATTACCGAAAGAGGAGTAACAATTTGCATTGTGTAATAATTGTTTACGAAATGATAACCAATATGTTCAAGCATCTGATTATATGTTTACGTGATAAATTACTTTCACTATTTACTAATAACAAGTTTACTCTTTCCTTGCCTGTAAGTAATTAAATAAATGATCGGTTAGCCTTGGATGGTAAACAATAAGACAGGTAAACATGAAATCGATCACGTAGTCTTTTGTTTTTACTTTATAATCGTAACTGTTATTGTGAATCGAGTTGATTGTTCAATAAATATGGAAAATAAGTTAAAATTACAAATGTGATAAAATCACTTTGAGGCCAAATGAGGAGCCTCTGTTGTTTTTCATTGATCTTCGCTTACTTCAGTTGATAATTTACCTTCATTTTAAACAACAGTTTCGCAATAAGCATTGGTACCTCATTCTAAGCCTCAATTCAATTAAATACTCATGGACGACGATTGTTAACTTT